CCCCCTCCTGTAGCTCCGCCCCCCCCTCCCCCCCACCCTCAGCTCACGGTCCTTCTGTTTTCAGCCTGCTGTACACCAAGGTGAAGCTGGAGTCCATGTGCCGAGGACCAGAGGAGGCGCTGCTGAGCTGCAAACACATGCTGCAGATCTGGAAGAGCTTCTACAACCTGACCAACCCCAGGTACACACACACACACACACACACACACACACACACCATGTAACATTTAGGGGGCGCTGTTTTCATGCATCATAAAACGAGAGAGAGGAGACGACAGTGTCATCATGAAGTCTGGAAGAACCCCCCCTCTGACCCCCCTCTGACCTCCCTCTGACCCCCCCTGACCTCCCTCTGACCCCCCTCTGACCCCCATCTGACCCCCCTCTGACCCCCCTCTGACCCCCCTCTGACCCCCATCTGACCCCCCTCTGACCCCCCTCTGACCTCCCTCTGACCCCCCCTGACCTCCCTCTGACCCCCCCTGACCTCCCTCTGACCCCCCTCTGACCCCCCTCTGACCCCCCTCTGACCTCCCTCTGACCCCCCTCTGACCTCCCTCTGACCCCCCCTGACCTCCCTCTGACCCCCCCTGACCTCCCTCTGACCCCCCCTGACCTCCCTCTGACCCCCCCTGACCTCCCTCTGACCCCCCTCTGACCCCCCTCTGACCTCCCTCTGACCCCCCTCTGACCCCCCTCTGACCCCCATCTGACCCCCCTCTGACCCCCCTCTGACCCCCATCTGACCCCCCTCTGACCCCCATCTGACCCCCCTCTGACCCCCCTCTGACCCCCATCTGACCCCCCCTGACCTCCCTCTGACCCCCCTCTGACCCCCATCTGACCCCCCTCTGACCCCCATCTGACCCCCCTCTGACCCCCCTCTGACCCCCCCAGCTGTGAAGGTGGAGCCTCACAGAAGTCAGAATGTTCTTAGAAACTAACTGAACACTGCTCCACCGCTCCACCGCTACACCGCTCCACTGCTCCACCGCTGCGTTAGCCTTCATGACCTGCAGGGTCACAGGTCAGTGGTGGGTTCTCGACCACGGCAGCTGTGTCTGACCTCTGACCTCCACCTGTGTTTCTGCAGTGACTCTGGTCGAGGCAGCAGTCTGTTGGACCGAGCCGTCGCTGACCGACGGCAGCTCAACGCCATGACCCTGCCTGACTTCAGTGACCCCGAGACTGGTACACACACACACACACACACACACACACACACACACACACACACTGACTTGACAGTAATACTTTAAAGTACTACAGTATAGAGAGTACTCTGATCTGTGTGAGGTAGTTCATTGACTTAGTTAGAGTTAGTTGCAGCTGTTCATCCATGGTTGGTTTGTCGGACGGCTGTGACCGTCCAGTGTCTGGAACTGTTCTCTGGAACTGTTCTCTGGAGGAACTGTTCTCTGGA